GTCACATTTTGAGGTGCTGGCAGTCAGGAGTTCAACAAATGAATTTGTGGGAAACACAATTCAGCCATAACAGAAAGCCTGCAAGGGAGGATACACAGAGTTGGGGGTAACCCTTGCTTCAGTAACACATTTACTGGGTAGAAGAGCAAGTTCAACTCTAGAATCTATGCTTTTGATCATACTCCATACTGTGTCCCCAAGAAATTGGTTCTGAGAAGAGACAGGAAGGGAGACACCATATAAGTACATGCAATGAATTCTCTGTGCATCATAGAAGGAAAAAAAGGATAGGCTTGTTCAGATGTGATGTTCACTCCCCTTACATATCTGTGCATGAGAAGAACTTCCTCCAATAGTCACATTGTTTCCCTGGTTTCCCTGGTCACGTCAGAAAAGCTATACAGATTGTGGGAAGTACTCAACCTCTGCTGGGCTGGACCACTCAATCCTACCCAGGGAAAAATGTATTTCCGGACCCTGTGCTCTTTGACGATTGAGTTAAAAAGCCTTAAAAATGTCTACCTGCTAGTCTAGCAATTCCATTCCTTGGAATTTATCTTTAGGAAGGAAGCAAATATGTGTATGAAGATTTATGCATAAGATATTTGATTTTAGCATGATTTGCAAGAGCAAACATTGGATAGATATTGGATAAATAAATTACAGCATGTCCATATGGTGGAATGTTCAACTCATAGATGAATATTTTCCTCCAAGGGAAAAACCTTCATGATATATTATTCTTTGAAGAAAAAATATTTGGATACCATATAGAGTATGTTCCGAATTTTTGAAATTGTGTACGGTATGTCCTCACGACCCTGAACAAGGAGGTACTTATAGAATCTAGCAGAGATGAATTGTAGTCTTGGTTTTCTGCTGTTCTGCCAAACCTGTTCTGTGCCCAGTTCTGAAAACTGGAGCAAGTCCTAGGGCTTCTTTTGTCACTCTTATCCAAGAAAAAGTCATCTACTCACTACAGTCACAAAAACCCAGTCTCTACTAATTAATATGTCCGCTCCATGGAACAGCTCAGATTCTCCAATCTTCGCTGAAAATGAATATTTCGTCCTTTTCCTTCTTCAACCGTGTCAGGCTGGCGCCTGTAGTGAGAAGGGGGGTGGGGCTGTTGTGTCTCTTTCTCTTCACTGGGTGCTTTGGTTCTCCCCCCATTCCGTCCAACACTTCCTCTGGTTCCTCCAGAATTGGGAAGAGGGAGAGGGAAAGAAAGAGGCAGGAAAAGGCTCACCCGACTGGTGTTATTCTAGCCACCTGGGTTTTCTCGTGCCTTCCTTCATGGGTCCTTTGCAGCTGGTCCCTTCCTGTTCCTGGTGGGCACCTGCAGTTTGCTTGACTGGGAGCTTATGTCTCTTCTGGTGGCTGCTGCACGACTTCTCCCTCCCCTGCTGCCCCAGCATCTGGCCAGTTCTGGTTCTTGGAAACCTTCATACATCCTTTGCCCTGATGACTTGGGGAAAGTGAGCCACCTTCAATATAACCTCTCCTTACTCCACCCTCAGGGCTGCTAGTCAGCCACAGTCACTGGCCCTTTGGATCCCTCAACATGATTGGAATACCAGCCAACTGAGTTCTGCATGTTCCAGGGACTATGCATTGAGCCTTTTTCTAAGAGGTCTCACTGAAGCCCCTGTGCCTTGGACAGAGCCCCCACAGGGAGGGTGGGAATCTAGACACTGACAGTTCTCTTCTCAAATCCTTGCCCGACACCAACCCCTATCTCTGCCTCTCCAACTTCTTTAAGTTTCTAGAGGTGGGTAGATTGGGCTTTTTTTTTTGTTTTGTTTTAAAGTAAACTCTAACCCGAACATGAGGCTCAAACTCAAAACCCCAAGATCAAGAGACATATGTTTACCAAGTGAGCCAATCAGGTGCCCCGGGATTGGGATTTTAAAACCTGACTAAATCAAGTCATCTTATCCTGTGTTCTGGTGGTCTTACTTCTCACTTTGAAATGGGAAGCAGTTGGCTCTTGTCTTGGAGTATCAGCTGATACTGAAATGGAAGGAACCTGTTCTCAACATTCTGTTTTGCACAAAGAGAATAAAGAGGCAGCCAGCATGCACGTCAGTCTTGCAGAGGCACGTCAGAGAGAGAGGATGGGGGTCTGGATAGAAAGATTGTCAGGGTCCCTTCCAATACAGAGATTGTATGGCAGGCTGGCAGGGAATACGAGAAAGTATCGATTATGTTCCCTGACTGTGATGTTGGAGAGACAAGACATGAAGCATGATAGCAGTAGACCATTGAAAATGTTCTTGATGGTAATAAATGCAATAACATTAAGTGTGAATAACCAAGTGCTGAGTGTACAGGACAAGCTTTATGTCTTAGAGAATGGAGGTGAGTCAGCTCACTGCTGCAGAGGGTGTCTGAGAAGAGGTAGGTGGAAACTGAGTTTGGCAGTCAGCAAGGGGAGACACGCCCCACCTAAGCCTCCATGGCCTCTCTTCTCAGGCTTTGTACTTACTTGTTCTCCCAAATGCCACCCTGCCAGGAAGTCCTTCCTTATCCCTGTAGCTGGAGGTAAACAAGGCATCTCTCGTCACCATTGCATTTTGTTTCTACTCTTGTTTGCCCTGGCCCATGGCAGGTAACACACACACACACATATACACACGTTATTATGATGTCCCAGGCACTCAGTGAGCCTTTGGCTGGGTCAGAATTAGGGCTGAATTCCTGTTTTTTTTTTTTCCTTTTTTTTTTTTTAAGATTTTATTTATTTATTTATGAGAGACACAGAGACAGAGATATAGGAAGAGGGAGGAGAAGCAGGCTCCATGCAGAGAGCTCGATGCGGGACTTGATCCCAGGACTCTGGGGATCACACCCTGAGCCAAAGGCAGATGCTCAACCCCTGAGACACCCAGGCATCCCTGGGTTCCTGGGTTTTGGCTCTCCAGCCCCTCCTCCCAGGTGTTTCCAGAAGCCTGGAAAGCACTTCGCTGGATATTCCAACTCTCCTGGCATTTGTGATTAGGGATGTGTGCCCAAATCCATTTTGTGTGTTTCCAACTCAGAGCCTCCTGGAAGGGAGGTGCTCCCCAGAGACCTGGCAGGCAGCTGCAGAAAGCTGCAGTCCCAGCGCTGGTCCTGCTGAGGAGGGCCCAGCCCCCCTCCCTTCTGTGTCTCTTTACTCTGAGCGGTTGGCCTGCGTTTCCAGCAGGCCTGGGCTCGGCGCTGGTCATGCTGATGGACTCCTGGGGTGGCTCTACTCTGTGGGAGCAAGGGACAGGCCTGGCCCTGGGAGAGGGGTAATGATGGCCAAGTTGGTGCATCTGGGTTAGCAGTAGGCATGGCCACCACCAGGCCTGCAGAGCTACTACACAGGGCGGCTGGAAAGCCTTCTGATTCTGCTCCAACTTTGCTCAACTGCCACCTCCCTTGGGGAGAGTTCCCTGCTCCACAGGCTGAGTTAGATGCTCCTGTGTGTACCGGAGCCCTCGACTGTGGGAGCCCTCCGCCAAGCGTGTCTTTGGAGGGCCAGGCCCATGCATTTATCATCCCACTGTGGGTGCTGCATTGGCATCAGAGCTGGGTTTCCTGTAGGAATTCAGACCTGGTTCTACCTGCTCACCATCCTTCTCTCCCCTTTCATCACAGTGAGTCTCAGAAGACTGAGTAGTTTCTTCTGAAAACACCACCCTCTTAACACCAGGAGGGCAGCTCTGCTGGGGAGTGGAGGAAGACGGGGTGGCCATGATTCTAGCCAGTGTTCCAGTACAAAGGACAACTAGAAGAAGGTCTAGAACAGTGCTGACTGATGGAAAAATAATGTGAAAAAAAGGACAAAGAAACAGTGAAATCTAATAATATATTTTATTTAACCCAAGATATCCAAAATATCATTTTCACATGCAATCAGTACAAACCATTATGAATGAGATAGTTCTTTTTTTCTGTACTCAGCCTTCAAAACCTGATATGTATTTTATAGTCAGTGCATCTCAATCTGGACACTCAATTTTCATCAAAAATACTTGATGTGTATTTCAATTTTATAAAATTTGCCGTTGAGAAAAACAGACCCATCCACCCACGTCCTTCCAAACATAAAGTTTTCCAATAACTGAATTAAGTATCTGTTTTTAAATTTAGATGAGTTTAAATAAAATACAAATTCAGTCACGCTGGCCACTTCTCAAGTGTACTCGTTGAGTCCCATGCAGTTTCTAGAAGGAGGGCTGGGAGGGAAGAGAAGACGTGACTGAATCAGGGGAAGAAAGCCCAGTGGCTCTCAAGGGTGGTGGCAGCTTCAAGCCAAATATACAGCAGCTTCTCCAAATATACATTGCGCTCATTTTCCTTAAGGCTTTTGGGGCTGAAGGCAGATGGCAGTCATGGTGGGAGGCTCAGCTCACTTCCAGGACAGTCTTCAGTGGGGTGAAACTTGTCTGCATTTTCTGCAGCATCATTAAACTTGGAGGGTGGTGTCCTGCTGGGGGGCCATGGAGGACTGAAATTCTGGGGAGAGGCTCCTAGGTTCCCCCCACCACTGAGAGGGGTGAGGGCACTGCGGAGGGCCCTGGAGCTGACGGAGGGATCAGCTGCTCCCCCTACCGAGAGCCACAGGACCTGCCTGGCTGCAGCCACCAGAGAGGTAACAGGGGCTGAGGCTGCCTTTCGTAGACTTGCCCTTCACATGCTGGAGGCAGTCAGTGATGCTGTGGGCTGGAGGACCGTTGGCAGGGGTCAAAGAAAGACTGGATCTTTTTGGGGTTATCAAGCCTCGGAACACAGAGGCCTTGACTTTGGAAGCATAGAAATGTTAGTGCGGAAATGCATCTTAGAATACAAAGGTAACATGGGTACCTGGCTGGCTCAGTCCGTAGAGCATCAGCTCCTGATCTCAGGGTCCTGAGTTCAAGCCCCAGGTAGGATGTAGAGCTTACTTGAAAAAAAAAAAAAAAAAGAACAGGCGAGTAAGATAGTTTAATAAAGTTCTTTGGTCTCCAAACTCAAAAATTGTTTTTCTCTAGACTTTACTAGCTGGTGTCAGGTGTGACAGACACATCCCTGGAAAATTCAGCTAGGAGCTGGGTTCCGTTCTCAGCAAATGGGTTGAAAGACCTCCGGCCAACCCAGTGGATATCCAGGCTAGCGGAGGAGCGCTGAAGGAGATGGAAAAAGTCTTCACTCTCAAGGAATCTGCATCCAGGGGGAAGACAGAGGGTAAACTGCTAATCAAAAATGTAATGCAATTGCAAGGGGTAGTGGGCAGGGGGATGGGGTGACTGGGTGACAGGTACTGAGGGGGGCAGTTGATGGCATGAGCACTGGGTGTTATACTATATGTTGGCATCGAACTCCAATAAAAAATATGCATATAAAAATGTAATGCAGAGCATGATGTCTAGTTGATGGCAGATTTCCTTCGGGCCCAAAGGAGGGTTCAGCAAAGAATAGCCCACAGGCCAAATCCAGCCCACGGCCCATATTTTGTAAGTGAAAAAGGCTGGCCCCTCAGCAGGCTGGTTTGTTTGTGTTGCCGGCGTCTGCTTTTGCCCCCTAACGGCAGAGCTGAGTACTTGCAGAGAGTGAATGGCCCTCAAAGCCTCAAGTACCTACATACTATCTGGCCCTTGAGAGAAAAAGTTTTCAGGCCCCTGGTCTAAGGCAGGGGACAGCTATTTTCAATAGAGAAGCATGTCGGATCGGCTTCTGGGAATAAAGAGCTGAAGAAAGGGAATTCTGGCCACAGGCCCGGTGACCTGATTCCAGGACAGAGAAGCGGGCCAGGCTCCCAGCCCGGGTTCTTCAAGCCTCTCCTTACTCCTGAGCAGAAAGGAATTCAATCATTTTTTCCACACCTTGTAGAAAGAGAAAGAGAGAGGATGAGTGAGCCGAAGTTTGTAAATGTTTTGAGAGTAATATGAAAAAAGCATCCATTAATCAAAAGATATTATTTCTATTTCATTGTTAAGTGGATGCTAATTTTCTTTTTTTCTTTTTTTTCTTTGCAGTCCTGGCTGCCAGATTCCTCCTTCCTGTTGTTCTGCCTTGGAAAACCAAACCAAACCAAACAAAAAACTAGGCATTACCACCACAGACCACAAAGGCGTTTACTTTAAGAAATGTGTTTTCATTCTTTTTCAAGATCCAAATAGGTGCAAGTAGGCTTAGATAGATTCCACAAGGTCCAGACTTCAAAAGGTTTAAAGGGTGTGGGAAGAAATGCCTCCCTCCTATTTCTTGTAATGATTTTATTTATTTATTTGAGAGAGAGAGAGAGAGAGAGAGAGAGAGAGAGAGAGAGAGAGAGAATGAGCAGGAGGGAGGAGCAGAAGGAGAAGGGGACTCCTCGCTGAGCAGGGAACCCCATGAGGGACTTGACCCCTCTGTTGACAAAAGGGAAGAAAAAAATCCAGAGAAGAAATGTGATTGGTGTGGAGGATACTCCTTAGGCCAATGACCAGTGGACTCCTCCCTGAGCAGGGAACCCCATGAAGGACTTGATCCCTTGGGCTCATGACCCAAGGCAAGTGCTTAATTAACTGAGCTACTTGGTTGCCCACCTCCCTCCTATTTTTGAGGCTCTCTGTTCCTCAGTTTGGAGGCGGCAAATGGCACCAGTCTCTTGTAGTGTGTATCCTTCTTGAGATATTTTAAGCAGGAGGAAATATTGACACACACACATATTTTTTTCTTCCTTTCAACACAAATGATTATCTCCTATATATACACCATTTTGCAAATTGCCTTTTTCCCCCTCGTTAATGCCTTTTGGTAAGTGTTTCACATCACTACACACAGAACTCCCCCCTTCTCTTCTTTGTGGTGTAGTGTCCCATCACATAGAGGTACCACTCTGTATGGAAGTGTTTTAGTGGCACCTAGAGCTGTTGCTCTACCCTCTTTGCTACCAGCGACACCCTGGTGGCATCGCTGGGCTCAGGGGACAGGGTCGATAACAGTGCCTAGGTAGAGGTTCATCCTACTGATGGCTTGAAAGATGGCCCCTCCTTAGTCCTCCACAGGCCAGGCAAGGGGGCGAGGGGCATTTCATTCCAGCAATCATGTCGCAGCGTCCTTCTGCCTGCTTTGGCCACCTGTGGGATTAACCCTGTCCCTGTGATTGCCCTGCCTCAGGCTGCTGTGGGAAAAGCACGTATTCCAACTGGAAATCGAAGTCAAGATTATTCTGATATAGTTGGATCAGGTGGTGGCGGTGGCGTTTGGCAGGCGTATTAGTCATGGCTTTTTATTGAAAGTTATAAATACCAATCTCAAACTGGCTTAAGCAAAAAGGAGGATTTGTGGACTTACACAGGCAAACAAGGCGATTGGGGAGTTGTGGCAGACACCCAGTTTCCTACCCGATGTACATTCTCTCCATGTTCTCGGTGTGCCCAACTAAAAGCGCTCAGCTCTTGAGGCTCCCTTGCAGCTAGGGTAGTCACGTGACCCTTCTCTGATGGAAGTAGACATGCACAGGTTGGCCCATCTGAGAATCCTCACACTTAGCTGGCATATGCTTTTTTGTCCTTTTTGCCTGGAATGTGGATATGACACCCAGAGATGCAGGAATCGTCCTGGAAGATGAGAAGGAGAGTCAAGTGATGAGTCAAGTCAAGTCAAAATGGCAGGAGAGGGCTGGGTCTCTGCGGTCACCATGGAACCTACATACCAGATCTCTCCTGCCAGCCTTTCAATTAGATGCCACCTGAGAAAAATAAACTTCCCTTTGGGTCAGTCCTGGAGTTGGGCTCTTATTACATGCAGTTCAACCCAGGCCAGCTCTGATTCTGTGCATCTGGAGTCTAGGATTTCATAGTGTCAGGTTTCTCTATCTCTCTAGTTCATTCTCCCAGAATCCTCAATGGGGCAAGGGACATGACACCAGCAGCTCTGGAATGCACTGTGAAAGCTTCCGATCCAGGGGAAAGAGGGAGCTAACCCCTCTGTTGCCGAAAGGGAAGAAAAAAATACCCAGAGAAGAAATGTGATTGGTGTGGAGGATACTCGTTAGGCCAATGACCATGGACAAGGGGTTGAAGTAATATGGCTGACCAGGTCTGTGCCACCTAAGCTTATCTGGAAAAGAGAATGAGAAGCAGTTTCCAAAGGAGGAGAGGGGATACTTTTACCAGGAGGGTGGGAAGGTGGGAGGACAGATGAAAACAACAGATGGCTCTCTAGCAGGCACTGAAGTTTAGACATGTGGAGAGGAGAGAGAAAGGCATTTCAGGGAGATAGTCCCCTCCCCTAGGAAGTCTTTTCTGATGGCCTGATTTAGCCACTCCTCTCTCCACCCCATTAGCTCCCTTGCTTATTCTCACTGTAGCACCTGTCTCTGTGTATCACTGTCTGTCTCTTCCTGGTGGCTCCTCAAAGTGGATACTTCATCTTATCAATCCTGTATCCCTCCCCTCACTGGTGTGTAGTGGCCACTGAGTGTGTGGATGAGTGAATGAAGGAACAGCAGGAACAAAGACACAGAAGAGGGAAGTCACTTCTGGTTTGGTTGGAATCTTGAGTGTGTGATTTAAAAAAACCCAGTAAGTCCTGGGGCGCCTGGGTGGCTCAGTCAGTTGAGCATCTGACCCTTGGTTTCGGCTCAGATCATGTGTCATAGGTCATGGGATTGAGCCCTGTGTTGGGCTTTGTGCTCAGAGTCTGCTGTAGATTCTCTCCCTCTTCCGCTGCCCCTTCTCCTGTTCACACACATGCTCTATCTTTAAAATGAATAAATCTTGAAAAGAAAACAACAACAACATTCCAGTAAATCCTAAGGTGAGTTAGGGCTAGATTGTAGGGCAACTTTGAATGTTAGGTTAAGGAGTTTGGGTTTGTGTTATGGAAATAGAGAGCTACTGAAAGCTTCTAAGCCAGAGTGGCATGATCAGATTTTCTATGGCCAAAGTCTAGATCCTTTTGACTCCTGGCCTCTGTCTTTATTTTCCATTCTCTGGCTTCTCTGATTCTTCTTGGCCTGACTCTTCATCGGTCTCAAATTTGGTCCATGTTACCCACCAGTGCTTCTCTCTACCCCACCCCTTTCACCAGTCAGTTCTGGGCTGATTCTGGTCTTCACTGAGCAGGTGGAAAGGATGGTTTTCCCTGACTGGTACCAACTGGATGTCCTTCTAAGGAAGTTTCCACCTGAGCAGCTCTTGTCTGCCCTCTTCTGGGCACTCGTGGCTACAGCTACTTGCTCTTTGGAACTGGATATAAACAGGTCACAGCCTCATGATGTGGCTTGTCTTCTTATATTCCCCCCCCCCCCCCCCCCGGGTCTCCCTTAATTACTTACAAACCAAAGCGGAAGTTGCTGTTGTTGTTGTTTGAGTGACAACCATATGTGTAGGTTTGTCTGGTAAGAGCGACATATAGAAAACACTTCGGACTTCCCACTGTTCTAGCTATTTTTCATTGTGGGCTCCAAGGGCTCTCATAAATGGCAGACCACTACTTTTTGCTAATTTACATGCCTCTTCTATTTATTTGTCTGAACAGAGGTTACTTTAGTTTATTTCACCATTGAAGAGGTAATACATTTGAACTTTATAAATATGTAAGCCTTACATTTTTATGTACCCTTGGAGAATAGTCTTCCCAATAAATCGCTACTGCTTTCATCCAAGTAGAGAAGTCCATGAACATATTTTTATCGTTCACAATAGAATCGAGGCAATGTCCTAATTAATGATTTTTATAAGATGCAATTTCTGTTTACAGGGAATTTGGGCCTGTAATGTGGATCAGAAACTATCTCTGGGGTTTTTTTGATCTCATGACATGATGGATACACATCTTCACAGAATACCTGATTGCATTCTTGGCCTCACCGTGGATGATGGAATGATTTTTTTCTGAATATGTGGGTTTTCTTAGGCCAAGGCTAAAACTTGGCTTGCCCACTCTGGTTAGCAGACTCATTCAAATGCATTGGCTGTAGATCCCACAATTTCTGCACAGTCCCCAAAACCACATCTTGCTCTCCTGGGTCCGCATTTTGAATTCCTCATTTTCCCTATCTATTCAAGTCCAGCCCTTCCCTCAAGACCTACTTTTAATATCCTTCCTCTGAGATTCCTCCCCTGCATCCTAATCTCTTCTAAACAGTAACGCAGCTATAGCTTCTCGCATATATTTAACAAAAATCATGCATTATCTTGTGGCATCTTTTTACCTTTTTAATGAGTCATTATTTATAAATTTGTATTGCCATTTAACTTTACAGAAGTTTATGTCCCATGTCTTTTCTTGAATAATAAAAGCTTTAGTGCCAGAAACTCTATCTTACACTAGGTTGTTTACCCCACAGAATGTTGACTATCTATTGCTACATATTCAATAGTTGAGCAGCAAGTGCTGTTGATTGATGGGTTGTTGTATCATTTGCCTATCCTAGCTCTAATTAGTATACTTTCCTGAGAACTATTTACAACAGACAGATTGGCCCAGGCCATCATTAACACTTCCCTGAAATATTTTCATGCATTTAGATGCTTTGCAAAATGTATTGCCCAAATGGTGCTATGTGTCTATGTGTGCACATAACAAAGGGAAGCCAAATTAAAACCATCCTTTTAATTCACTGTTGATGCATGATCATTTTAAAATGTAGCTTTCATTTTCATCAAAGTTATGCACTTACATAATTTTAGGAGTTGTCTTAGTCTGCTTGGGCTACCATAACAAAATACCGTAGACTGGGTGGTTTAAACAACAGACATTTATTTCTCACAGTTATGGAGGCTGAGAAGTTCAAGATCGTGGTGCCAGCAGATTTGGTTTCTGATGATGGCTCCTTTCTGGCTTCCCTTCTTGCTGTGTCCTCACATGGCAGAGAGAAAGAGAGAGAGAGAGAGAGAGAGAGAGAGAGAGAGAGAGAGAGAGAGAGAGAGACCTAATCTTTCTTCCTCTTTTTATGAGGATACTGATCCCATTATGGGGACTGACACTCATGGCCTCATCTAAACCATTGCTTGCCAAAGGCTCCACCTCCAAATAAGATTGAATTGGAGATTAGAGCTTCAACACATTAATGTGAGGGGACACAGACATTCAGTCCATAACAGGGGTCAAATAATTTCACAAGGTACTCTAAAATATAGCAGCTCCTCCTTGCTCCACCGTTTCCCTGCTTTCTAGAATCAACATGTTTGGCTACTTTAGATGCTTATTTTGATGTTATCTCCTTATCTCTATATTATGATTACACTACTACTTTCATTTTTCTCCTTTCAGCTTCAGGCATTATCTATTGGCTTGCCACTGTGTCAGCTCTCTTTAACCACCCACACTGTGCTCTATCATATCCTGATCTTCCACCTTCCCATTTTCTTGCTACTGTTATTTCATAATTTTGCTTAAGTTAATATTTAATGTGCATATTATCCTGTCTATATAAATGTTATTCACAGCTGGACATGATTATTTTTGTTTTCTTGTATGACCATTAGGTTTTCCTGGAGTTAACAGTTGTATTGTTTTTTTCCCTCCCTTTCTTTGTTTTCTAACCCCAATTCATCCCAAACTCTCTTCTCAGTTGTTTAAATCTCCTCTCAGCACATTCACTCACATCAGGTATTCCTATACGGCCATCTGTTTGGTCTTCCATGCTCTTCTGAGCTATTACAATCTGAACTATTTTCTTTCTAAACTCAATGTGCAGCTGTTCTTCTTGGATCTCCCTTCATCTTCATCCCTGAGATTCCTTTGGCTCTTTCTTGGATTGATTCTTATATTTCCCAGACCCTATATCTTCCTTTCTCTTGGTTTACCTTCTAATTTTGGATGAACTTCCCAATAGCTTCTTGAGAATGGCTGAATGAAAGGTAAATATTTTGAGACCTATCATGTCTGAAATGTTTGTGTTCCACCCTAACATTAAACTGGTAACTTTGTTTGGTATGAAATTCTAGGCTAGAAATTATTTTTCTATAGAACTTTGAAGTTATTGCTCCATTATCTTTTTGCTTCTAGTGTGGCCACTGGAAAATCCATGGTCATCCTGATTTCTTGAGTGACCTTTTTAGCTTTTCTGGAAGCCTTTAATATTGTTCCTTTGTCCCAATTTTTCTGGAAATTCATGGTGATAAATGTTAGTATGGACTTGTTTTTGTCTATTGTACTGGTTATTTAACGTACTCTTTCCATCTAGAAACTCATGCCCTCCAGTTTTGGGAAATTTCTTGAATTTTTTTTTTTTTTGTATTTTCCTTTCTTCTATTTTTTCATTCTCTTTTTCCGAAACTTTACTGATTCAGATGAAGGACTCCTAAACTGATTTTAAAAGTTTCTTTTCTATCATATTTTCCTTCTCTTTTACATTTCATTCTACTTTCTAAGAAATTTTCCTAACTTTATCTTCTGATTCCTCTGTTGAAATTTTCATTCTACTTCATTGAATTTCTAAGAACTCTCTTTTGGTTTATACTTGTTTTATTTTTGATAGAATTGTTTTTTTATTAATAAATACAATAACTTCTCCTACTTCTCTGAGGATGTTAATGATAATTTCCTTTCAATCTGTTATCTTCCTGCATAGTTTTATACCAGTTGCTTTCCCTAACCCTAATATTTTGACCTCTATTTTTCAAGTTAAAGAATTTCCTTGAGATCATTGGCTGATGCTCACATTTAAAATGGGACTCTTAAAAGCTAACTGGAAGCTTTTTGTGTGTGGGTGGAACTTGTTAATTGTGGACTTCGTTAGAATGAATTGTAAAGGGTAAGTTGGTTTGGTTGGTTTGATTCTTCAGGAGAATTATGATGTCAGCACGTGTGTGTGTGTGTGTGTGTGTGTGTATGTGTGTGTGTAGAGTGGTTTTCAGCATATTTAAGAAACAGTAGAACAGAACCTTCTAGTTAAGATTCTCCAGAGGGGGGAAAAAACAAAGATTCTCCAGAGAAATAGAACCAACCAGATCTCTCTCTCCTGTGTGTGTGTCATATGTATGTATATGTATATACATGTTCATTTTTTTTTTACAAGAATCAGCTTATGTGATTTTGGAGGTTGAGAAGTCCTACAATCTTCTTTCTGCAAGTTGGAGACTGAGGAAAGC